AACTATGGAGCATTTAGCTCCTAAAATAGCACTACACCATGCAGAGGTACTAAAATCCATTCCTGAAAGCAACATAAGCACACTCAGAAGGGATTATGCTAGACCTAAAAGCCCTGATGTTTGGCTGATATTGTATGTTCAGACTGAAAAGCAGCTGCTTTGACCACAGAGCACTACTGGATTCATGGAGAAGGGACACAAAATTCCTTCTTCAGCTGCTACACTTTGATCACAAAAATTGTCTGCATCGGGACCTCCTCCGAAGCTGTGTTTCTTGACTAACATGAGGTCCCAGAGTGTGTGGCTGTCTGAAGGCCTGACACATCATGTAATTTCTCATTCTGCCAAACAGATGCAAAGTGAACTTTCTTCCCCCAAACACCACAGGTTTCCGCTTTCCTTTGGGAGGAAATGTTTAACCACATCTGTGAAAACCCTCTTTGGTTCTGTTGGCATGTATCGCTTGGGTCTTGTAACTATTTTTCCTCTCACTGCGTCATTTCAGTTTGAACAAGTGGCTTTCTACTGCCCTGCTGTTTAGTAACTAATTTCCAGTTATCTCCCAGGGCTGCAGGACTTCTTTCTGTTCAGAGACCTCCTTCGCAGTCCAGAGGGTGACAAGGAAACTACTGACTTCCCCTCACTGGCTAAATAGAATAATTAACATGTGGCTGATAAGGGAGGACAGAACTTACCGGTGTTGGTCTGCCAGTGCTAAATTACAGCCTCACAGGGTGAGAGGTTTTAGTTTGTCTCCAACATCCTCTCTGGAAAATTGGGTGGGATATAAAATCTTGTCCAATACTGAATCTGTTCCTAATAGCAATGATCATTGTTTCACCACAGGGTTACAAGTAGTCTTCGGATTTTCCGAGCACCAGGATCAAAGGCTGCATTTGGTACTCCAAGACAAGACTCTGTCTTGGCTATATCAAACAGGGTGTTAATCTCTCACCAAGCCTTTTCTAGTTTTTTCTATTTGTGGAAGGAATCACACACCCCCATTCACTTCTAATCATGACTAAGCTACAGAGAAATTGTAATGTTACAGTATTATCTTGGTAAATTTAGTTGCTTCCAGTAGATGGCATTACAGCAGTGCAGTCCTGATCGAGGTTAGTTCCTATCACTGCTTGGACTGCCAGAATAGCACTCAAAATAAATGCGGTTAAAAACATTCTTGTTCTTTTAGTTTCCTATCCAATAAAAGATGTTATTTCTATTTTATGCATTTTATAGCAATTTTTTTTTGTTTTATTTTTCAATGTGCATAACTCCACAATCACTTTATTTTAGAAAATTTGTCAAGACACTGAGTGTTTTGGACTGTATTCACAAATATGCTAACCACTGGGCACTGCTCTTTCATGTATAAAATTTCTGCCCTCAAGTTATGCATCAGGGCTTTCTGTATGGCAGAGGGGAAGAATTAGGTACTTCACACCAGCTCCATAGCAGCTAGCAGGCAAAGTAGAGACCAGTTACAAGAAGCAGCTGGTAATTTTAACCGAATAATTACATTTCAAATATATTTGTTAGGTTTTTAGGTACATTCCTCTGTACAGTCTCAAAAATGCAAAAATATTGTAGACAGATATGTTTGCATAAAAAAACCCAAGCCAAATATGAAGGTAACTGTTTTTACTGCTAATGTCAAAGTCAGTTCTGAGAAAAACATGTTACGCCACTGTTTGTGCTTGGGCATAGCAAGAGTCATCACAACCCCTCCACCCAGGTCTCCAAAAGCCATTCTTTAAAACACTTCTCTTCAAGTCAACTCACTTACATTATTCATTAATCAACAATTTACATTAGAAAAAAAATGTCTACTAGAAATGTGGGTAGCATATTCTATTGTTTACCTTTGCATTATAATAAATGTAAATTAGAATTTGTCTTTATTTAACCATGCGCTTGTGTCTTTTAAGCCAAGACAAGCTGACTCATAAAAGACAACTCTTAGCATTTGATTTTTGATTTAGTTTAGTTAAAACACATTCCAATTCTTTCTCATTGACCTAGCATGAAATTTATTAACTTACTACCCAATTCACAAAAAGCTGAGTAAAATTTAAATATTACCCCATGATTCATCAAAGCTTCTAGTGCACCAGGTTTTGCACTTGCAAGGAAAAATAAAGCTCAAAGTATTTCTCCTTGCAAGGAAAAATAAAAGCTCAAAGTATTTTTCTTTGCAAGCAAAAGCATGCCGTGGCTTGGTGAGAATGGGAGAGAGGGGGAAGCGGGAAGCAGGACGTGTGTCTCAAGGATTTGGGCATCACAGGTGTGAGGGATGGCACCTTCCCCCATTTGGGATCTGTAATCCTGAGTCCTTTCCTGAAATAAGGAACCTAACGCAACCCTTCAGGACATCTGTATGTGTATATATGTGCGTGAATGCATATATAAAGACAGATAAAACAGTACTCCCTTCTTTACCCAATAGGCTTTTTGTGGTTCTTGAAGCATGTTAGCGTCCTGTTTGTTGCTCAAATAAGCACTCACCCAGGATAGGAGGCCTTATGTGCCCTGATGGAAGTGCTGACTGCCAGCCCCTAAACTGTTACGCCCAAGGGCTCTCTCAGCCTTTCCTGCCCCATTACCGCTTGACCATGTTCATCCAGAATATTGAGAGAGATGCAGGATTTCAGGCTCTGGCAGGCTTAGATGGGTGTTGGTTGGGATTTTGGGAATGACAGTTTCAAATGAAGTGGCCAAAGTAGTCCTTTGACTTGATTACACTAACTTGCTTATTTTCTTATTTGATATCGGCAGTCAGTCAGTATTATTTATTTGGTTTGGTACCAATATGTTTATTCAAAAGGCATGGTGGCTTGGGCTTTCTAGCTAGACTTCTGCAGAAGTTGCTGTTCTAACTCCATGGTCTGCTGTTTGCAACTTTTACAAAGTTTTGCAATTAAATCTTCTGTATTTAGCATGTGGTAAAAATAATTTTCCATTTGCTGAGAAAATGAGCAGAATGGTTAAACTACAGAGGAATTTGAGAGGGGAAAAGCAGCAGCAGTCTATTGAGTATAAAAACTGGTGTGACGTATATGTGCATATCCCAGCTGCTAAAGGACTTAGAATCATAGAATCATAGAATCATTAAGGCTGGAAAAGACCTCTCAGATCATCAAGTCCAACCGTCAACCCAACACCACCATGCCCACTAAACCATGTCCCTAAGTGCCGCATCTACACGTCTTTCAAATACTTCCAGGGATGGTGACTCAACCACTGCCCTGGGCAGCCTGGTCCAATGTTTAACCACTCTTTCAGTAAAGAAATTTTTCCTCACATCCAATCTAAACCTCCCCTGGCGCAACTTGAGGCCATTTCCTCTCATCCTATGGCTTGTTACTTGGGAGAAGAGACCGACCCCCACCTCACTACAGCCTCCTTTCAGGTAGTTGTAGAGAGCGATGAGGTCTCCCCTCAGCCTCCTTTTCTCCAGGCTAAACAACCCCAGTTCCCTCAGCCACTCCAACAAGTCCAATAAGCCCACCTCGCTACAACCTCCTTTCAGGTAGTTGTAGAGAGCAATGAGGTCTCCCCTCAGCCTCCTTTTCTCCAGGCTAAACAACCCCAGCTCCCTCAGCCGCTCCTCATAAGGCTTGTTCTCCAGACCCCTCACCAGCCTCGTTGCCCTTCTCTGGACACGTTCCAACATCTCAACATCCTTCTTGTAGTGAGGGGCCCAAAACTGAACACAGTATTCGAGGTGCGGCCGCACCAGTGCTGAGTACAGGGGCACTATCACTTCCCTGCTCCTGCTGGCCACACTATTTCTGATACAGGCCAGGATGCCGTTGGCCTTCTTGGCCGCCTGGGCACACTGCTGGCTCATGTTCAGCCGGCTGTCGACCAGCACCCCTAGGTCCTTTTCCGCCAGGCAGCTTTCCAGCCACTCTTCCCCAAGCCTGTAGCGCTGCATGGGGTTGTTGTGGCCGAAGTTCAGGACCCGGCACTTGGCCTTGTTGAATCTCATACAGTTGGCCTCGGCCCATCGATCCAGCCTGTCCAGGTCCCTCTGCAGAGCCTTCCTACCCTCGAGCAGATCAACACTGCTGCCCAACTTGGTGTTGTCTGCAAACTTACTGAGGGTGCACTCGATCCCCTCGTCCAGATCATTGATAAAGATATTAAACAGAACTGGCCCCAATACTGAGCCCTGGGGAACACCGCTCGTGACCGGCCGCCAACTGGATTGAACTCCATTCACCACAACTCTCTGGGCCCGGCCGTCCAGCCAGTTTTTGACCCAGCGCAGAGTACACCTGTCTAAGCCGTGAGCCGCCAGCTTCTCTAGGAGAATGCTGTGGGAGACAGTGTCAAAGGCCTTACTGAAGTCCAGGTAGACCACATCCACAGCCTTTCCCTCATCCACTAGGCGACTAGACTTAAGTGGAAAGAACAAAATTTGCCAGGAAAATAGTTTTTTTGAGGCAAAAAAATTCTATGGTCTGTGTATATGTCACTAAAACCACATCTTTGAATCATTCACAGCTGCCTTTCACGCAGAGAGCAGGGGCAAAGGCACTGCCACCACTTGGTCCCTGTTTCCAGGGTAAGGGCCACAGCTGGCTGTGCTGCAGCTCCATGTCTGCAGTGGGCTGGGAGTAGGACCCCGCACTGGGCTTGATTTAACTACACCTGGAAATGCTTTCCGCGCAGATCATGGCAACAGCTTACAGGCAGTGATCTGTGCGTACAGCTGTATCCCTGCTTTCTTTTCGAGGATGGCCCTGGGGCAGACCTGCACTGGAAGAACCAGTGACACAGCTCCCAGTCTGCTCCGTTTCCACGCATCCCAGCTGACTTTTGCAGAGATGGGAGGAGATGGGGAGTGCAGGGAGGTGCAGGCACCCTCCTCACAGGGTGAGAACCTGGTTCAGAGAACACTGAGGATCAGACCCATTTGTACATGTGTAATAGACGTAACTCTGATGTGTGTGCAAGGCCTCCATGACACTTACATTGATGTTTCCCTTCAACAGAAACGACCTGGGAGCGGCCAAGCAGTGTGCCTGGGACCCCAAAGAGCCCTGTGTCACAGAAGAGTTCTGCAGGTACTGTTTGAGGCTGTGCCTGACCACTGCATTGGGTGAATCTGCTTCTCTACCACTCAGCAGAGCAAAGGAAAATGCTGCGATTACATGGGATGTGTATTTAATGTACACGGTCATGTGAATGTAGCAGAGTAAACATGGTGGGGCTTTCCCTTCTGATACATCTTCTCGCCTGCTGTTTCCCTACTGATGCATCTTCTGGCCGGTTGTCTGAAGTGTCTGCTCAGAGCTGAGATGGCTCCTTCCTTGGAGCATGGAGGCAGATGGTGGCCCAGCGAGCCAGCCGGGCTGCCAGCTCTGGGAGGGAAGGACAGGCTGCCTTTCCCAGTCCCGCTTTCTGCTGGGGCAGGGGGAGCAAAAAGCTGCAGAGGAATGTGGGCTGGCTATAGCTCTTCCATGCAGAGCACGTGCACAATGAAGTGTTTTAGCAAGTGGTAGCTACAGGGTTGACCACTTCACCTCTGTCCTGACTTGAAGTTGCAGGGAATCAAGTAACAGAGAATCAGCTGCATAACTGTACTGAAAAGCTTTGGGTACTGCAGGAAGACAAAGCAAAGCAAAAATTACACTAGAATAAAAAGTGTTAAATGGAAAGGCCATTGCTGGCAATTGACTGTAAATAATGCAGTCTAGAGGATGTTTTTTGTAGAATTTGATGTAGAACTGATGCCCCTGTATCAGCAGAGCTGAGTGGGAAGTATGCTTGAAGATTGCGCATTTTGTTGTGACCAAAGGGTTTGTGATGTAGTTGTGTATCTTGTTTTAACCCTACTTTGAGCATCATTCTTTGCTCAGTATATTCCAAAAATAAAGCACCCTACAGCTGTATATATGAACCATAAATACCTTACAAGGCTTACTTTCTTGACATGAAAAGCCCTTCTCCATTAAACCAGTGCTTTTTACATACCATACTTCTTCAAGCACATCATTTTACCAAACAGCACTATGGGAACTGTTTTGAGTTGGGGGTCTCTTTTTCTTGGCTCCTTCCAGCTCAGTAACTCTGGTTGTAACTCCTGATAAGAGCCTGCTGCAGGATCCTGAGGGTGGAGTGGGCCCATGGGCTGAGCTTCTGTAGAGTCCGGTTCTGGGGTCTTTCTGGGTTGGAGCTAACACATCACATTGCCAGCCTGATGGGATGGGGAAAAGCATCTGTAGTTTCTTAGGCTGGAGGCAGTGAACACTGGTGACTCAAAAAAGGCACCGTGATTTATATCTGTATATTCATTTATGTGATTAGTTTTTAAAATGTGCAGTTATTTATTTGCTACCGGCAGCAAACCTGCTAACTCTCCATCTGTTCTTACAGTGAATGGCTACCACATCTCTGGGACGCCAGTACACCAGCTCGACTCTGGTCATATGAGCCTCCGAAAAGCCAGTGGGGACCCCCAGGTAAGTTCTGGGGAAAAAGCCAAACAGTGGTATCCAAGAATAAATGGGTCTCCACTTAAGTAGTTTAGGAATCTGCCCAGAGCAGGAGATCAAGAGGCATTTTCTTTCAGAAACTGTCAGATCAGACAGATTTGTTGCATCTAGAATAGTTAGTCTTTGTGTCCAACTGGTAAAACAGTACAAAATGCCAAGATACTTTGGATTTTTCTGTTGTATCACTCCTTTCTGAAAAATCCACCAGGCCACTTCAGTCACTATTAACAACCTTACAAATTTTCCTGCCTCTCCAGCCTGAAGCCTGGGCCTGTCTCCAGCACAGTCCTCTCTCTAGACTTGCACATCTGCCCATGTCTGTATCTCATTGTATTTTCTTGCAGCTCCAGCCTTCCCTCCCAAAGACAGTATTCACAAAGAATTTGTCCAAAGCTTTTTTCTCAATTACTTCATCCATTCCTGCATGTCCTTTTACAGGCCCTCCTCTGTGCTTTATATAGCCCATGCCTCACCCATCTCATCACCCCAGGGTAGTGTTTAAGATGCTGACTCATGGACAGCCGTTCTCCCCTGCCTGTTTGTCCAAATTTTCAATAAATATCCCTGCACTTTTTCTTGCACCACTTCATGTCCCTGGGAGAGTCTTCCCCGCAGGTCTGCAGATGCAGCACAGGGCCCTCTTCCAGCTCCTCCCATGAAACTCTTCACCCCCTCCCAAAACAGCAACAGTTGAATAGCAGGTGGGTTGCACTCCCATGGGTTGTGTTTCCCTGCCCAATGACGTTTTTCCCCTGGTGGTACCGGACCCGAGTTCTCTATTTCATTTCTGTATTAACTGGTACGTTCTTCTGCAGTGCAGCTACTTAAATACTCCCAGTGAAATGCATGTTTGATTTGTGTGCTGCTACCATGCTGACCGGGGTTACCTGTTGCTCTCAGCATCCCTCTGATGTTCTCTGTTTCTTGGCCTAAATTTTGTGTTGTCTGCCAACTGTCCCTCTTTGCCTCAACCCACTTTCTCGCCCACTGCCTCCTAGGCAGTGGCCTTCAGCCTTGCCCTCATATGTGCTGTTTCAGCTAAGTCAGCATTTCTGGTTTTGCTTGCCCACCAGTGGATTCACAGCATCTCCCACGATACAGTCCAGTGCTTTGGACTCCCCTTTCCTTCCACATCCACATCAAACATCTTGCACTTAACTGTCCTGTGCTGCTGCTTCTCTGAGCTGTTTGCACAGGCTGGAGGCAGAGCATGTGGGTGCCTAAACTAGGTGAAAAGCATTTTAGAAACTGATGTAGTGCATTACCAGACACCCCTGTCCTCACGTCTGCTTTGAGTCCCTCAGAGAACCTGAATAAACTTGCAGGCTGTGACTTCCTTTAACAAAAGCTATGTTAATCCATGTGCAACAAATCTCATTTCTCAAGGTATCTGATTCACAATGTTTTTGCAGTTGCCTTGGTACACAAGTCAGATTAACCGACTCCCCCAGAACTTCCTTTGTAACAACATTTGCCACTTTCCATTTTTACAGTGCTGAGTCTGACTCAAGTTTATAGCCACCTTTTTGGTCAAATTTACATCTGAGATACATGGGGAATCCATTGCCATGCAATGGTTTGCTCAGCTGACTCATCCATCAGAGTGACAAAAATCCCCTTCATGACTTTTCTCATTCACTTCAACAGCCTCCATGATACTTCCTTTCCATTGCTCCTTTATTACAGGTTTTTCCAAACTGAAGTCCTGTTTTCATTTCTGCTTTGAACCTATTAACTAGTTTTGAATCTATAACTAGCTGCTGGTGCCATTAATTCTAAGAGCAGCTTGTGTCCACGCCCGCTTGGGAGCCTGCTTTTCCTGGGAGCTGTGGCTGCTTTTGCAGAAGAGTCCTTAGTAAGGAAAACTTCTGACCGTGAACTGTTGGGTGCAAGAAGCTGTTCTCTACACCCTCAAACTCTCATACACTTCGGCCAGTCCCTCTCCTACTTGCCTGTCTTGGGCCATCCCAAGCTGCTTTGCCTTGACTGCCTCCTTGTCTGTTCTTGGCACAGGCTGTCTCCTGCTGCAGAGCAGCTTCCAGGCATTCTCCAGGATGCTTTCTTAGACCTGGGTAGCAGCCATCATGCAAACAAACGCTGGCAAGATCCCTCAGGCAAGCTCAGCCACATTTCTTGGAAACAGGTCAAGGGGGAAAAAGCCACAACTGAGAACAACACGGAGCTGCACTGTGCTGGGCGCAGGGCCAGCCCTTGTTTACGGCTTCCTAGAGAGCAGCTGAATGCCGCCCGTTCAGGTTGTCACTACTGCCACAAAGGGAGCAGCAGCGCAGCCCGGCCGGCCGGCATCCCGCAGGCCAGCAGCGGGCCCGTGTGAAACCGCACGTCGTCGGCCCTGGGCACGTTGCTGCTGGTGCGAGTTCAGCCGGACGTCGAATTTGGGGCTGTAGCCCGAAGGGAGCGCGCCGTTCTGGGGCGCTGCACGAACACTGCCCGGCCGGAGTATGCTCCCCCCACCCCAGGCGCCCGGCCCGGCTCGT